TCCCTGTGTTTCAAGTTGTTATCTGTACAATGTACATCCTCTGGTCTAGCCAGATTTGCAAGGCAAAATTGGGATCATGATATTGGTGGGGGGCACCTTGCATTTTTATAAGTAATTTGCATGGAATACATTCATTTACTTTTTAAATGCTGGCTGAATAATTTTTATTACCATTTTAATAAAGATGCAGTGATCTAATTTTTCTAACATTAGATTTCTAATGTCAGTCCATTGAAAGACTGTTATTGAGGAATGATAATGTTTAAATTTGAGATTCATAAAATGAAGTATTTATTTGTCGTTAGCATTAATTCCGTGACATGGGCATTTCGAGTTGAGTTGTAAATAACAAAACTAAGACTGCACCTTTAAAGTATTTTGAGTATATGTTGTTAGTTCTTTTTTTATTATTCTGTGAAGCTTTAAGAGTTTGCTGCCATCAGCCTGCTGATTTCTCTTCTTTTAATAAATGCCGCCTGTAGACAAAGATGGCCTCTCCTCAGCTGCTGAGGTTTGGGATGTAGACCAGGGCCTGATGAGTAAACTGAAGGAACAGTACAGAAGGACGACAGGGGAAGAGAGGGGGAAGAGTAAGTGCAGATTCTATTATAATTTTAGATATCAATGTTGAGGGGGGAAATCAATTGTTTTTCAAATACCTTTTTGTTTTACAAAAAGAGAGCAACCAACTTTGAACTTTGTTGTAGAATTGAGATTTATTGGAATATAGTTTAGAATTGCACTGTTGATCAAGTAGAAACCATTTTAGCTATATAAATAGGGTGAAGGAGAGATTTCAGGATTTTTTTAAAGTTTTAAAACATCTATCAGATTGTAAGGAATAATGGCTTTGGAATTAAAACTAACAGAAATTTGTCCCAAAGGAAGACGCATAAATATTTTTGTTATTTTTTATTTGTGTGATCTTATGGCTATACCAGGTCATAATGTGGTTGCATTTCTTAGTGTGAGGAAACTGGCATACAGTGAATAGGAAAGCCCTGCCTATAGTTTCTGCTTTCTGGCATTAATCCAGCCAAAAACAATAGCAAAAAAAGTTTCTCCTTCCGGGTAGTAGTTCTTGGCTACTTTGATGGCGGCAGGATCTCAGGGAGGAGGTAGTGGTGATAGTTGTTTGATCAAAGGCAGGGTACCTTTTGGTGACTGATACATTTTTCCTTATGTTGAGTTTGGATCAGTGTACTGTAAAAGTGTAAATACAACTATTGGACCTATCTCAAAGAAGTAAATATTTTCCATTTTGTGAATCAGGCTTAAAAGCAGTTTTATGAGAAGCAGCCTCAAATATACTGGATGGTACTAAATGGTACTAAATATACTGGTACTAAATGGAATGTGAAACTTACTTTCAGGAAATTTTGCCTTGATCTACTTACTCATTTAGTCCTGCTGTATTTTAAGTTTATTTAAGTGGGAAAAGGGCACTATAAAGGCAAAGCTATAGGCAATTTTAACATATTTTTCTTAGGTCATACATTCATTTATAAATTGTAGTTGTAATGGAAAGGGGTACTATAAGACTTCCTATATAGTCAAGCATTTTTTGGATGATTTATCTTAGGAGGTTAGTAAGTGGGTTTATTAACAATTCTAATACAGTTTTGTTTTATACTGGCATTTGCCATTGCATGTGGAAAACAAAGATGGGGCTGTGTTCAGCTCTAACATCACCTACCTATTATGCATGTTGAATATAACGGGAATTTTTGTACGATTGATTCTTAGTAATGACACAATGACATTAGAATTTCTGAGTGTTTTGCTTCTTTTTGAAGAAAGCTTACTGGATTCGCTATGTATTTTATTCATAAACTGACTTTTCTTTAGAAAATGTTTTATACTGATTGCTTTTAAATTTTTAAAATCATTTTATTGGGGGCTTATACAACTCTAATCACAATCCATACATACATCAATTGTATAAAACACATTGTACGTTCCTTAGCCTCATCATTCTCCATGTAAGCCCCTGACATCAGCTCCTCATCCCCCCACCTCACTCCCTCCTCCCTCATGAACCCTTGATAATTTATAAATTATTATTTTGTCATATCTTACACTGTCCAAAGTCTCCCTTTACCCACTTTTCTGTTGTCCGTCCTCCAGGGAGGAAGTTGTATGTAGATCTTTATAATTGGTTCCCCCTCTCTACCCCATCCCCCCTTCCCCCTCCCCAGTATTGCCACTCTCACCACTGGTCCTGAAGTGACATCCATGCTCGATTCCATGTGTTTCCTATCTGTACCAGTGTACATCCTCTGATGTAGCCAGATTTGTAAGGTAGAATTGGGATCATGATAGTGGGAGGAGAGGAAGCATTTAGGAACTAGAGGAAAGTTGTATGTTTCATTGTTGCTACACTATACCCTGACTGGCTCATCTCCTCCCCATGACCTTTCTGTAAGGGGATGTCCAATTGCCTACAGGTGGGCTTTGGGTCCCCACCCTGCACTCCCCCCTCATTCACAATGATATGATTTTTTGTTTTTGATGCCTGATAACCCTTCGGCACCTCGTGATCACACAGGCTGGTATGCTTATTCCAAGTGGGCTTTGTTGCTTCTCAGCTAGATGGCCGCTTGTTTATCTTCAAGCCTTTAAACCCCAGACGATATATCTTTTGATAGCCAGGCTCCATCAGCTTTCTTCACCACATTTGCTTATGCACCCACTTTGTCTCCGCTTGCTTCCAATTTTAAATGGAAACACCCTTTGTTTTTCCTGATAGAGTGTGGCTAGGGGGTGTATATCTTTAGAAACGTAGAAACGTGCGATAAATTATTCCAGTCTTTTCCTAGTTTTAAATTTAAATTGTTTTCTATAGTTTTAAAAATGTATAAGTGCGTATTGTAAAAATAACTAGAAACACGAACTGGCGTTACATTTAAAAATCTATCTGAAAAAAATTTAAGTTTTTAAATACAGTTTTATAATCTGTCTAATTAGCTAATAGTTCATAGATTTTTGTACTTTATGTCAACAAATATTCCTATGTATGTCTTTTCAGTTTTGTTTAACTCAGCAACTCTGATGTTTTATCCAAGGCAATAAAGCAGGTCAATGGGAGCTAGTATGATTATATCGGAGTCTGGCTACCTCAGAGTCATGACTTGGGGCTTTAGATTGCTCGGTACTATTTTATTATCTAGATTTACTTTGTTACCTGGCCTCTTCCTTTAATTTTGCATTTACATCTTTTTTAATGGACTTTTTAAAAAATTGTTTTATTAGGGGCTCATACAACTCTTACCACAATCCATACATACCTCAATTGTGTAAAGCACATTTGTACATTCATTGGCATTCCCTCACAGAAGGGTCACGGGGAGGAGACGAGCCAGTCAGGGTATAGTGTAGCAACAATAAAACATACAACTTTACTCTAGTTCTTAAATGCTTCCTCCCCCCCCCCAATCA